ACCAGATTCAAACTTGTGACCCGCAAGTTGCGAGTCGAGTACCCTCACCGTCAGGCCCTACTCATACATCTACCAGTTAAACTTATTGAAAGTTTAAGCTCTTGAGCTCCAAAAGAAGAAGAAAACAAAAAACAACGCATCTTCTATACAGACCGTCGATTCCACAGTCTGGAACGTTAACCGTTATACCACACCTGGCCTAGCAGCAACATGTAAAGCGTAGCAATATGTAATCGCTCGTAGTAGCTTTAGGGCTTATTAAATTGTTAGAGCCTTTATCACTTCGGTATACGTAGAATTACTTAAAAGGTCAATTAGTGATAATAAAAAAAATTTTTGGTAACACTCAAAGTCGTAACTCATGAGATACCTTAAGATATAACAGTAAAATCAAGTATGTAAATTTCAATAATTTCTTTTTTTTTTTCAGTCAACATTTCAGTTACCTGGTATTTCCTTAAAACAGTTATTTACTACATCCTTAGCAATGTTTAACATATTATCATATTACACTTTACGACAACTGAAGACAATCCGGAGTTCCTAACGTTTCTCCATGACAACAAAATTATGTAAAATATAAGTAAATACTTTCATATTCACCTATTTACGTCTGAATACCGTTTTATATCGCAATCTGATTTTGGCTGTTAATATGTATAGTGCCGCTACCTATTGACCATTATATTGTTTTTATTTTTTTTTATTTTATTGATATCTGTATTTATAACTTTTGCAATATTTGTCAAACTTTATAAATGTATCTAGATTTTTGAAACTTTTATAAAAACGGATATTCTTCATTATTTAAATACCACTGAAATAGTGATAAGATATTTGAACAAGATTTTTTTATACAATTTGGTATAGTTTAGTATAGAAAACAAAAGATTGAAATTCGAGTTATGATTTACTTTTTACCTATCATAATGAAATGTCATAAGAATGAAAACCGATAAATCCAACGTTTTCCTTAAATTTCTTATGAGTTATTGAGCTTCCAAAGAAGGAAACAACGAATGTTCTATATGGACCTTCGACCCCACAGCCCGGCACGCTGACCATTACATCACACCCAGCTTAGCAATATGTAATATCGTGTAGCTTTAACGCTTAAAATATTGTTAAGAGTATTTATCAATACGATTTTTCGTTCTCATCTTCCGCAGTAAATAAAATATTTGTGTTTAGCTCGCACAACTTGGTTTGTCGTCTAATTTTTGAAACTTAGGTTCATTAAATTACTCATCTAAATGAGAGTGGTATGAAAATGCACACTGCGCATGAGACGCACATTTTGTTTGTTAAGCACAAAGTTACAGAATAGATACGGCGTCCACAGGAAGGGGCATTTGTCCCCCTTACATTTCACAAAAAAATTGCACATATTGTAATCTAAATTTAACATCGTAGTTAAACTAAATATTTTAAGCAATTTTAATTACAACTGTAAATCTGTGTTTGCGTTTAAGCTCACATATTCTTTTAACTTACATTGTGAAATCTGATCCCCTACATACATGCTTTGCCCCCCCTGAAAATATTTATATGGTCGCCCATGAGAGTAGACTCTCGGTGAATAAAATATTTAAACAAATCAAATTTTCACCACGAATAAATTAAAACGTCCAGTTAATCGTATGCCTCATGTTCTGACAACAGTTGCAAAATGTCCTCGTAACTTAATATAAAACCAACACGTAAGACTATTGGTCTAAACTACGTATCTTCATATTCTGACAACAGTTGCAAAATGTCCTCGTAACTTATTATAAAACCAACACGAAAGACTATTGGTCTAAACTACGTATCTTCATTTCTGACAACAGTTGCAAAATGTCCTCGTAACTTATTATAAAACCAACGCGTAAGACTATTGGTCTAAACTACGTATCTTCATATTCTGACAACAGTTGCAAAATGTCCTCGTAACTTATTATAAAACCAACGCGTAAGACTATTGGTCTAAACTACGTATCTTCATGTTCTGACAACAGTTGCAAAATGTCCTCGTAACTTATTATAAAACCAACGCGTAAGACTATTGGTCTAAACTACGTATCTTCATGTTC